GGTGCAGGTGGTGTCTGTGTCTGAGAGTGCCTCTCTTGTTCTAATTGATAGTCTTGGTTCACTAGGAGTTCTCGGTTGAATCGGTGCTGTTGGGCTCTGTTTCTCTGGGAGCAGCTTAGTCCAATCAGTGTTAGTGGGTTCTGTCTCAGGGAGCAGCTGTTACCAATTGATGCAGGGTGGGCTTATGGTTCCAGTGGTTGCTGGGTTCGCAGGGGCTGGTTATTAATTAATTAATTAACTAATTAATTAATTAATTTATTTTTGGTGAGTGAGCAGGGAAAGGTAGCTGCCTGGTCCCTGGGACTCCGATGGGTAGAGCCTAGGGGCTAGAGACCTGGTCTGCCGGTCCAGAGATGGGGCCTTACTTGTTCCCAGTTGGTGTAGGGTGGGCTTATGATTCTGGTGACCTGGTTTGGTGGCTGGGCTTCTTTTGTGTTCTCAGGTCGCGTTTTGCTCGCTAGCCAACTCCCCAGCTGATCTTGTTTCCTCAGACTGCAGGCTGCAGGCTTCTGAAACCTCTCCGGAATGGATCTCAGCTGAACAGGTTGATCAGTAGGGCAATCTCACCAACACTCCAAGTTGTTGGGCTTTGCAGGATCTGCAGCTGGGCCGTGGGTTGGCCTCCAGCAGAATGTTCGGTGGGTCGTTCTGGTCCGGTCCCACGGAGGTGGCCAAGATCACTGACTAAACAAAAGGTAACAACCACTGACTACAATCAAAAGGTAACAATCACCAACTTTAATCAAAAGGTTACAGTCACTGACTTTAATCAAAAGGTAACAACCACCGACTTTAATCAAAAGGTAACAACCACTGACTACAATCAAAAGGTAACAATCACCGACTTTAATCAAAAGGTAACAACCACTGACTTTAATCAAAAGGTAACAATCACAACTTTAATCAAAAGGTAACAATCACTGACTTTCATCAAAAAGTAACAACCACTGAGTCTTTAATCAAAAGGTAACAATCACCAACTTTAAACAAAAGCCTGGGCGCTAACACTCCGGAATTCAAGCCAAGTGCAATGGCTCTGTGGAATCCTTCCCTGCATCTGCCTCTTCTGTTTAAGCTATAATTAATTATGTTGAAGATTATGTAGCCTTAAAGTAAATACGGCCTTTTTTCCTATTGTTTTGTTTCATGATCTTAGGCAAATAAGCCAAAATACATTTTTAAAGCCAATAAAAGTTATTACTGCTAGAACAAGGATAACAATCACTAGAACAAGAAATCTACTAAGTGATGTACAGGATCGGAGGAGGCTATCGTATCTGAAAGGCTTTCCATAACACGTGGTAACCCTTTTGAAAAAGTTTCCTTAATTTCTTGCTGTAAGTTATAAATCATTTAGGAAGAATTAGGGTGACCCATCAAATGCATCTTAAACTTTTCCAAGTCAGGGTTGCTATCATTGAACCTTAAAAGTGTAATACAATAGGATGTAACATTCCGATCACATTTTTTTATTTATTATTATTTTTTTAATTTAAATTTAAATTTAATTTAATTTAATTTTTCTTTTTTTTTGTTTTTCGAGACAGGGTTTCTCTGTGTAGCTTTGAGCCTTTCCTGGAACTCACTTGGTAGCCCAGGCTGGCCTCAAACTCACAGAGATCCTCCTGGCTCTGCCTCCCGAGTGCTGGGATTAAAGGCGTGTGCCACCACCGTCCGGCCCCGATCACATTTTAATTTTATCTGCTTCTTCAATATTTCCAACTTGCGGTGAGCTCCTCGGCCAGTGAGGAAGAATGACCACCACTCGAGGATTCTTCTCAGATCACACTTTATTGGAGCGCCTCTTGATTAAGGGAGAGCTGGAGGTGAGGGGCCCCGAGAACTAAATTGCAGCTGCTTATATAGGGAATCAGGCAAACGTGCCGTGCCGTACTGTGATTGGGTCCCGCCAGAATGCAAGCACGGGGAGCCACGGGATAGGCTGAGGACATAAGGTCGATTACCATACCCGCGCATGCGCAGGTCACAGGACACGTTGTCCCGAGAGCATAGCCAAATATGGAGTTGTTTACAGCTAGGCTACCAGGAAGCCAGTGCCATCTTAGAAGGCGGCTCCCTACACCAACTGATACCCCAACATATAACAGCCTGTCTCAAATCAGCTATTTCATTAACTATTTCACTATTTTATTTTTGTTGAGTCCAAAGTTCTGTAGAATGCTTGTGCCAGTCTCTAGTGAACTCAGCAGTTTGGCTTTCTTTATGAAGGGCCAATCCAGCTGCTGTAGCAGTGGCAGCCAATGCAACAATGCCCATAACTACTGCAATAATCAGTCTAAGCATTCAATGTGTTCTTCTTAATATTCTTTCAGTGAGCTTCTGCACTGTGGTCATCACAGGTGAGTCTTGCTGTGGCCTTGACGACTTCACTGGCATCCAGACTGCTGGCCTTGCTCTAGAATGTAAAAACTTTCAGAGGTTACATTAAAGACATACTAGAATTAACACAGGTATGAAGGGTACAGTGTTCACAAGTGATGCTGTAATTATTAGGGTGCCATTGTACAGGCCCCTTCAGTAGCTAATAAGGTAATGGTACACATACTATAAAAGGATGGCTTTGATTTAGTCTAAATGACAAAGTTTCATCCTTAATGTTTAACTCTCCTTCCCACGCTTTAAGAGGGTGGAAGGCACTTGCTAATTTCCACAAGTTAGTCTGAACTGAATTGCCAAATTGTAGGAGAGGGCTTGACATTCCAACTCCATGCCGTTGAATAGGTTCATTGACAGCAGAGCTAATTTCCACAGTCCCATTTGAACTATATCTAGGCTATCTTGATTCTGAGTGAGAATGTTTTCCTTGAAGGAAGCCATAAGGGTTCCAGTCGATGACGCCTCCGTGGCAGATATTAATTAGCACTCGGGGTTTCTCACCTTTACATGGTTGCCCATGTATCCAGTCAGATTCTTTGTTGATAACCCACATCTCACCAGACAGTAGATTTTGTGGAACTAGTAGCATTAATCTCCTGTCTTCTAGAACCAGATGCATGAAGAACATAAAACTTGAGAAAATCCTGGGTAGCATTAACTATAGATAGCCACACTTGAAAGGTTACATCACATTACCCATGCAAACAGGAATTCCTTGCATCCCTGAAGTATAATTCCTAATTTCTTTACCTCCCTCCATAGATTGGCAGGACCTTGGTTTTCATATGGACCAGGTAGGCAAGAAGATTCATTAACCACCACAGGAATATCCACATCTTCCCAACTTACTCCTATGTTAATTGGAGGATTAGAAACATAGGCCCGATATGTATAGTTGGCCCTGTTACCTGTATAGTTACCACAGATAGCAGAGCAAGGAACAAAGTTGTGCACTCAGAGGTTTTCCAGCCAGTCAGACTAATGCTCCCCCTTTGTCAAAGAGATTCTTAAGCTGTCCTGAGGTGGGAAGATCAGCCATCCACTTCAAAGTCTTTCTGTATCACTTCTCTCCAAGTCCAGTCACCCATGTCAGCAGCCAAAGTGTCTAAGAGACTTGCTCATGTTGGATTTTTATAAATTTCGATGGTATCCACAAGTTTTTGTCTCGTGCAGAAACATAAGCATATCCTCAGCCCCATCATAACACTTTCCCTGGTTTCCATTTTGATGTTAAAATATCTTATAATGCACGGGCTGACTCAATTCAGCAATTTTTTTTCTGCAGTCCAGCGGCTTCTGCAGCTGTTGTCCCTGCTTCATTAGCATTAAATTTTAAAGTCAGTGAAGCATTTTGCAGCCAATCCCTGGGAGTCGTCATATCTCCCTTCTGATTTATAAGCATTTCTTTTAGAGTGAGATTAGATCTTTTAACAATTGTTTGTCCTGTAGGATTATATGGTATTCCTGTAATGTATTTTATGTTATAATGTGTAAAACATTGTTTCATTTTACTGGAAACATAAGCAAGGGCATTATCAGTTTTAATTTGTATCAGTATGTCTATTATAGCCACTTTCTCAAATAAATGTCTAATTATAGAGTCAGCCTTTTCAGAACTTAAGGCAGATAGATGCCCATTGAAATCCAAAGTATGTATTAATGGTATGATGAATAAATTTTAATTTTTCAAATTCTGTTAAATGAAATACATCCATTTGCCACATTTCATTTCTTTGTGTACCTTTAGGATTACTTCCTGCAGGTAAAGAAACTTGATTATACTAAGAAGAAGTAGGACAGTTTTTAATAATTTCTTTAGCTTGTTGCCAGGTAATGGAAAAATACTTTCTATAAGCCTCTACTATTAACATGATGTTTTCTATGAAATTCTAAAGCTTCTAACACATTTCCCATCACTAATTGATCAATTTTTTTCATTTCCTTTTGCTAATGGCCCAGGCAATGCACTATGAGACTGAACATGAGGGATAGATACATGGTGGATAATTTGTGTCCTGATTGCTTGTTGCAGTTGCATGGGTAGCAAAGTTAATTTTGAATTATCAGGAATTTCTGATTATCAGCAGTTTCTCTCTATATAATACAACCCCTGCAGCAGGCTGAGACTCAGTAATTATATTAAAATATTCATTAAAGTCTAATAAAAAGCATTAGAATGGCATATAACTCTGATTTTTGGACTTTTAATTACTTTACTTACATTTCCTACCTTATAACCAGTCATTCCTAATTCATTTGTGTCAGTATAGAATGTAAGAGCCCCAGAAATAGGAGTTCTTTTCACTGTGCAGGGAAGAATCCATTCAGTTCTTTTTATAAACTGAATCTGTTTACTTTTGGGGCATTTGTTGTTGATTTCTCCTAAATAATTGCTACAGGCTCTTTACCAGTCATCATTAATCACCCATAGTTGTATAATTTAAGGATTAGTGTAGGGCACTACTATCTCAGTTGGGTCCATTCCAGACAATTGGTAAAATCTTATTCTTCTCTTTATGATTAATTCAGAAACCTTTTATATATAGGTTTTACACTTTTTACTCTTTTTCTGGGCTAAAAATATCCACTCTAAAATATCACCTTCCATTTGCATAATGAGTCCAGTAGCGGAATGAATAGAAGGTAAAATTACTAAAATACCCTCAGTTGTGAGAGTTAATCAATCTATATAGGCATTTTGAAATTTCTGTTTTACTTAGACCAACATCTTTTCTGCTTCATCTGTTAAATGCCTTGGAATATTTAAATCCTCGTCACCTTGCAAAATTTTTAAAAATTACTTCATTCTTGAGTAGTCAGTCCAATGGTAGGCCAAAACCAGTCAATATCACCCAATAATTTTTGAAAATCATTAAGAGAGTATAATCGATCTTTTTTTAACCTGTACCTTTTATGGCTGGATTTTCTGTTTACTTAATTTAAATATTAAATAATTAAGAGAATCTCCTCTTTGTATCTTTTCAGGAGCAATGCATATGCCCCAACAAGGCAAAATCCTTTGTATTTCATTAAACATTCTTTCCAAGGTACCTGTATTGGAAATAGCCTATCAAAGACTATTGGGGTCAGGCCTCTAACAGTCTCTTCCCAGGGTTTTCAGAAGAGATGCTAACAACCAATGGTGAGAAATAACCTGAGGGAATAAACCAAAGTACACTGAGCTCTTTAGTCCACTCACTTTATTCTTCACAAAATTCTATCTCCACAGCTTCAATTCTGTTCTCATACTTAGCTCCTCTCTGTCCCTTTTCCTCCTGTCCTTTCATGGTTCTAACTAAGTTCTTTCCATCTCGTCCTCATCTTCATCTTTGTTCCTCTCCATCTCCGTTCCTTCTGGTTCATCTCTAGGAACTGGTCTAAAACCTTACAAGCAGTCCAACTTTGACAATACAATGCAAGACTTTCAAGGTCCCCACAAGAGCAGTAATAGTCAGCTTCATTTGCAACCTCAAAGGGGAGTGAATAAAGGAGGTGGGTCAAATCAGGCCTGGAATGAATCAGAAAGGGAATTTATGTGCTCAAAATATATTCTTAGAAATGATTAAGTGAAACGTTATGAGTTTATCATAAATGTGCTCAAACTACAGTCTTAGGAGAGGTTAGGTAAAAGAGTCCATGAGTCACTGAAATAAAACTGCCTTTTTCTTCTATGTTACCAATTTCTGGTGAGAGGTGGAGAGTACTTGATAGCTAGGTGACTTGTGTCACAGCTTGAAGCACCTGGTATGTAAAAAAAAAAAAAAAAAAAAAACCTTTTGTTCTAAGTAGGCTGCTCTAAGGTGCCATTTGGGGGCTGTGAGAGAAAGGGAGGTCTGAGATTAATTTGCACAAGAAGCAAAGCTATGAACGTTACCTCTGCCTAGCCTAGACGGTGTCTCCATATTAGTGTTATCTTAATTCAGAAGACTAGCAGATGGTCTGACCAGCTATTCTGTCTGCCACTCATCCATAGATGCTTTGTCTGGAGCTGGCCCTGGCTTTGGATGCTTGCTAAAGGAGATCATTGCAGAAGGCAGACATCTAATTCTAATGCTAAAAAGGAGCAGAAGGAAGCTTTGCCTCTGTGACTGTATCCAAATACCTTAATTGTATATGCTCCAGGAATGATCAATCCATACTGTTTAGAAGTTCTTGGGGAAGCCATGAGAGCTCACATGATATTCATAGCAGAAAACAGCTAATACATTAAAAGCCAAATAACAGCAAATACTCCTTGAGACTTGGCTTCCTCTAGAAGAATTCCTTGATTCTTCTAGATAATGCCTTTGCCATAGTCAGCTGAATTCTTACTTCATATTTTTGTGACTTGCAGCAGCAGCCAATAAAATTTTATCCATATATTGGTTAATAATGGATTGAGGAAATTGTTTATGAACCAATTCCAGTAGTTGATGCATACAATATACAATATTGACATAAAGGATTGTTTAACATTCCTTGAGGAAGGATTTTTCATTGATATCTCTTTACAGTCTGGGCATTATTATAAGTAGGCACTGTAAAAGCAAATTTTGCTACATCTTGTTCTTGTTAAGGGATAGTGAAGAAATAATCTTGCAAATCAATAACTATATCAGATCAGTTTTTAGGTAACAAAGAAGGTAAAGGAATTTCAGGATGTAAAGATCCCATAGGTTGAATTATTTTGTTTATAGCTCTCAAATTGGTTAACATTTGCCATTTTCCAGATTTCCTTTTTATTATAAACACAGGAGAATTCCAAGGACTAGTAGTTTCCTTGATGTGTTTAGCATATAACTGTTCTTTTACTAGATGTTCAAGTGCCTGTCATTTTTCTTTAGTCAAAGGCCACTGCTCCATCTATACAGGTTTATTAGTTAGACATTTTAAAGGCAGAGCATTTGGGCTTCTGGCAGTGGCCCATACTCCAAATCTGGGTAGCCAATTCCTACCTTGTCCTGCTGCTGTCCTTGTCTTATGTAGCCTGTGGTTTTCCCTGATAATTCCTTCCAATACCTTTTCCAGGAATGTATCCCATTTTAAACATCATTTTACAAGCCATTTCTGAAATTGTAAGAATATTAATTTTAGCTCCCCGCTGTTGTAACAAATCTCTCCCCCATAAATCCATGTCTGTATCAGACACATAAGGCTTTAACATTTCTACTTGTCCTTCAGGATCTATACATTTAATCCATTCCACACTCTGTTTTACCTGAGTAAGGTTCCAATGCCTAAAAACTGAGTGGGGACTTCTTGTAAAGGCCAGTTGGGATTCCAAGAGTCTTGAGAAATTATAGACACCTCAGTTCCTGTGTTCATCAAACTTTTTATCTCAATGACATTTCTTGTAATTTTAACTTTGCTCTCTCATCATTAATAACAGTTTCCCAAAATACTTTCCAAACCCTCCTATCCTAAATATTGGAGCTGCTTTACCTTTAACATATGGGAGTAATAATAATTGAGCTTCTATCTGCATAGTCCTTTTACATAAGCCATAATTTAAATTTCTCCTTTGTAATATTCATCTGTAATTCCTGGGTGGGTAATAAATCCTTGAGATATTAAACTGCTTCTTCCCAAAATTATTCCCATTGTTTCTGGGGGAAGAAGACCATACACCCCAGTGATTATTTTATAACAAGGAGTTTGTGGAGATAATGTAAGATGTTTTCTATTGTTATATCTAAGGCAGCATTACGTTTCCAATACTTTGTGTTTTCCTTAAAGACACCCATTAGGGGTGAGGATGTGCAAACTGGGATTCTAAAGCTATCCATTACGACCATAAGACTGATTCTTCTTAGTCCAGCCAATAAATTGTCATCCAAATTTAAATAAACAGCAGTTAGTTAAAATATTCAGTGGCTGAGAACCATCTAATAAAAGCTTATGGATTACAACAAAGTTAGACTTCTGAACTGTTATAACCCAGAGTGGGTACAATCTTTTTCGTGGAACATGTGGAATATGTGTAAACATTCTCTTTATCCTTTCCAAGAGCCATCTATAAAAGCATTAAAGCAATCTCTGTAGGATTTTAAGAGGTAACTTTTGTTAGTTAATTGGCTGCACTGTGCTCTTACCCTGCAAGGAAATGTCACGAAACAAGACAGAATCTGCTAATAAGAGTTTTATTAAAGATAAAGGGACAGAGAGTGCACAGGCCTGTGGGAGAGACACGTGTGTGGAGAAGAAGAAGGAACTGGGAACATGGTGCCAGATTTTAAAGGCTGGGCGTGCACAGGTTGACGTCACTCCTCCACGTGTGCGTGTAGATCACATGGCCATGTTGCGCACTTACGTAAACATGCGAAGTCACGGATCCTGGTCACACCTGGAAATGGCTATCTTGACCTGGAACTGGCTAGGCGGAAGTGTCCGCTGGGCATGTGCAAACACGCCCAACCATGGGGGCGTGTTGTGAACCCTTCAACCTTGGGCAATATTCATGGAATATTTTTATAAAATCTCAAAAGGAGGATCCTTTTTTACAGATCCCAAGCAATGTGTTAACGTGACCTGTGGATTATTAACGGTGTTGCACAAACAATTTACCTGCATTTTATTTAGTGGAAAAATAATTTTTGTAGGCCCTTTACCAGTAAGAGACCATTTCTATGAGCTATTGTCTTAGCAGCCACATTATTTAATAAGCTAATGACCTGCTCTATTTTAGGTGTTAGACTTTTATAGAATTAACGGAGAGTTTCCAGAAAGAAGCTTAAAGAGCAGAGCCAAACACTCAGGAGTCAAGAGCACAGCCAAGGATATAGTTCAAAATCATGAGGTTTGTTCTCTTAGTTCATTTACTAGGAAAATTAAACATTTATTCAAGTATTAATCAGACGATCAGGAGAAGAGAACATCCTCCATATAATGAATGACTAATATCTATGGGAACATTTTTTGTTTGTTTGTTTTTTGAGACAGGATTTCTCTGTGTAGCCCTGACTGTCCTGGAACTCACTCTGTAGCCCAGGCTGGCCTCAAACTCACAGAGATCCACCTGCCTCTGCCTCCCAAGTGCTGGGATCAAAGGTGTGTGCCACCACTGCCTGGCGTCTATGGAAATTTAAACAGCATTGGCTTAGTACTTTATGCCCTGATTGTGACTGTTTTGTACTAGAAGTTGGACTTGTTTTTAATTTCTTCTCCCATGAAGGGACCAATGATATTGAGTCATTCCCCACTATTAGGAAAAAAAATTCCTACAAAGGGATCTTTAATATTGAATTGTTCCTGCTCTGAGGGAAAAACAAAACACATTTAAACCAAAATCAAGTAGACAAGCAAACATGAAAATTCTAAGCCCCAGGCTGGCTGTGCTGGCTCCTGCTGCAGCCTTGGAGCCCCGCCCACTTGGCTGTTCTTTGGAACTCAGGTCTTGCTGCTCCAGGCTGGCCAGCCCTTGACCAACAGAGCTGACAGGCAGCATGCAGTCAGGAAGCTCTGAGTTCCAGCTGTCATTAATTTCTTCCAACCTTTGGGAATAACTCTATTCTAACTAGACAGCCCAGTTATTTAAATCTTGTCTTATCTATAGGAAATGCATCCCATATGCCATATGCTCCTTTAAATCGCTTTAGCTCTATCGTCTCTGTAAGTTTCTGAACATGAACATAAGCACTTCCCTTTTTCTGTTGGTAAGTTTCCTTTTTCCTTGATTTGTTCTTGTCCCAGGAGCCATCTTGTTTGTATCTTTAATATTTGCTGTAGCTGTGCAGTGAATGCTTTTTCTTCCAACATGCATTTTAGCAATTGCACAGGTTGTTGCTCCTGAGATGGGGAGTTTAAATTCCCCATGTCCCTGCCAAATCCTGGAGTCCACACACACGTGAGTGCACTTTTAACCTTCAGTCCTGGAGTGTCCGATCACTCCTTTCTCCAAGATTTTGGGCACCAAGTGTCAGTGTTCTGTTTTGTGAGGGTCCATTGAAGAAAAAGGGTCACTCCAAGATGAATTTTCACTCTGCAGCCTCTGAGGGACCAAATGCCTGTTGCTTCCCAAAAAGACTTTTTAAAAAAATGTTACACAGTTTACACTTTTAGCAAGTGATTTCCACAAATCAAAACCTTTTATCTGGAGTTGTTCGAAGGAGACTTTTGCCTAAGCAATCCTCAGCCAGGAGACCTCCTGGTTTGCCAGGTTCTCCCATTACTAAGTTTTGCAAAAGCTCTGGAATCCTTCAGGAAGGACTCAGATAAGAATCACTGACTTCAATAAAAAGGTAACAGTCACTGACTTTAATCAAAAGGTAACAATCACTGACTTTAATCAAAAGGTAACAATCACGATTTTCATCAAAAGGTAACAACCACTGAGTCTTTAATCAAAAGGTAACAACCGCCGACTTTCATCAAAAGGTAACAACCACCGAGTCTTTAATCAAAAGGTAACAATCACCGACTTTCATCAAAAGGTAACAATCATGACTTTAATCAAAAGGTAACAACCACTGACTTTCATCAAAAGGTAACAATCACGACTTTAATCAAAAGGTAACAATCACGACTTTAATCAAAAGGTAACAACCACTGACTTTAATCAAAAGGTAACAACCACTGACTTCAATAAAAAGGTAACAGTCACCGACTTTAATCAAAAGGTAACAATCACCGACTTTCATCAAAAGGTAACAACCACTGAGTCTTTAATCAAAAGGTAACAATCATGGACTTTAATCAAAAGGTAACAATCA